CCTCAGCAGCATCACCAAAATATCTTGCATACGATTTGAGTTTCAAATAACAACAACAATAAATTATCTAATTCTCCTCTGTGTGTGTGTTGTTGTTGTATTTATGTTAATATAATTTCGCTTTTTTTCTTAAATGTATTTTAATTTGTTGGATGTTTTGAATTTTAAAGTAGAAGAGCCCCAACGAAATAACAAAACCGAAAACAGCCTATGGGCCTTTTGATTTAACGTCACAAACATCACAATTTTAAACCAATTCGATTTTCTACTTGCCGCTGGGCCTTATTATAATCATGTTATCTTTGGTTGTTTTTTTTTCGTTACAAATTTCAAATATGTGTTACTAAGTCAGTAAGGTTTAAGATGTGTAAATTGTTGTTGTTGATGCTTTTGAAATATATTGTTTTTTGTTATCAACTGGTTTTGTTGTGACCATTTAGTTTTTTTTTTCTTCAGCCTATTTGGAAATTTCAAAATATGTTGTGTTTTGTTTAAAGTGTTATCATCAGTGGTGAAGTGGGTTTTAAGATGTTGTTGTTGTTTTTGCTTTTCTTTTTTTCCCAAAAAGATTTAAATTTTCTTCATCAACAGGTGTCTGTCTGCTGGAGAAATATTTATGTTTTTTTTTATAATTATAAAAAATAAATCTTATCTGATTAAATCATTAAGGTTGGGAAATGATGACCTTTAGGCATAGATTTTTTGTTTTGAATTAATAAATTTACATCAAATATTTGTTAATATTTGAAGTAGGTCTTTTTCATTTTTATATGTAACCTAAGGCTATGTTGAAATGGAATTTCAAAAATTAATTTGTTGCAATGAAATCAGAGACAAATTTGAGATTAAATACTGCACCCCTGCTAATTGAGGAATGTTTCGAAAATATAGCTTATAAAAAATCAGGTTCCAAGAATAAAATAATTTTGAAAATAACGAAAATGTAATGGATAGGGAATTTAAAGTAAGGGAATTAATATAATCTTTTTCTTTCTAGTACTAGAGTAAGATCCGAAATTAAAGATATCAGATAAAAATTGTAGATATCAGAATCCATTTGGGAGACAAAAATATCGAATAAAAAGTTTCGATATAAAAGAAAAAGTTCAGCGACTTTATTTGCGGAATAGAATCGAAAAGAAAAATATTAAATGCCTACAATTAAATTTCTATCCTAAAATTTTAAGAATAATAATAATAATTTATTAATGTCTGAGGCAGAAGACCAAGATGAATAAAAAATATACACAAATTTTTCAAGTTCTTCAAAAGGAAATATTAGTCCAGAATAAAAAAAAACAACCAAAAGTAAATTTCTAATAACATATAGTAATATTTAAAAAGTATTCCGTAATAGAGAACTGTTTAACAAAATATTATATGTAAACCGGAGATCCTTTAATAATTTTTTCTTCGGACGAGGAAAAATTATTCAGTTTGAAATAATTTGAAATTTTTTCAATAAACTTCTGAGAAATTTTTATTTGATAATTTATGACTCAGTAATGGTATATTCGATATCAAAATATTTTTCTTGAAAATATAATAAATTTCCTTCGGAATATCTCTTCCTTTCAAAATTGTTACAAAATTCCCTTTAGGCTCCATTCAGGCACTTGGATTACTCACATTCTTGCATGGTTTGAGTCATATGGAAATTCCCTTTATTTATTTTAAATTTGTACAATTCCTCTTACATTTCAAAATAGTTTCCTTATAGGCTGTACAAAATGCATATATAATTAATTTTATATTATATGTTTTGACATGCTTATCATTTGCCTTAAATAACTTAAAAGTGTTGCTTATAGTTTATATTTAAAAAAATCCTCCATCATAACAAAAACAACAACAGCAAAAAACTTATTATTTAATGGCAATTTTATGACATCCTTATGATGTTTTAATGCTAAAAAAACTGAAACGCAAGAGACACCTTAATAAGCCACCTAGCCAGCCAGCCCGCCATCCAGCCTACCTGTCTGCTTGATGTCGTCTTTTACCTTTTTATTTGCATTGCGAATTAAAAAAAACAGCGACGCAACAAAATTTGTATTTGTTGTTGTCTGTCGTTGACAGAAAACCAATCTTTTAATATATTTGCGTGGTTATTTTTGTTGTTGTTGTTATACAATAACTATCTCTTAGTGTTGCGTACTACGTCATTTGACGTAACTGTAGGATGGAATTTACTTCCTGTATGCAATTCTAGTTACACGTAACAAAATGAAAAAAAAAAACAACAATGGACAAAAAATGCTGGACAATAAGAATGGCAAAATTAAATGACAACTTAATGACACCAAGATTATGAAGAGAAAGACACAAAAATATGTATACAACAATAACAAAAAAAGTATTGGAGGAAAAATATTATTTTTATGGATTTTAAAGAATTAAAATCTGAGTGGATTTCAAGGACATTTTTTGGAATATATTGTATATTTCTTTCTGATATTTATTCATTGGAAATTTTAAGAATAAATTTTGTTTTTTAATGTTTATTTCTTAATACACAAATACCCATTAAATAAAGACAAATCAATGACCATTAAATAACGCCCACAGATGAGACAACACCTAAAAAATCAAAATCAACAGAAAATGCCATTAAATCGTATAGCTATGATATTGTGACATTTAAAGAAAATACAAATACAAACAAATTTAATACTTCCTTAAATAAAAATATGTTGATATATTTGTTTTGATTTTGGGTATCAAAAAAGTATTTTTTGTTATCATTTTTTATTCCAATTTAATCATTTTCAAAATAGAAGCATCTAATACCATGATATAATAAATATGTTTTTGTGCATCTCCTTTGTTGTTTCTTTTGAGAATTATGGTATCGATATTTTGAATTTAAATAAATGAATTATTGTTTGAATTTTTCAAAGTATTGGGATTTTTTTTCTGTATATATATATATTTTTTTTTTGTTAATATATTAGCATTTGAATTGATTTTTAATGAAGAAAATTTATTTCATTTATTTTTGCTGTATTTTATGATCATGTGCAGATAATTAAAGGAAAATAAAAATAAATTAAATTAACGGGTTTTTAGCAACAATTCTACAAAATAAAAACGATAAATATATATTTTTTGATATTGGAGATTTTGAAATTTTGTTTTTGCAATAAAAAAGTAATAATAAATAAATAAAAAAATTAATTGATAACAGAACAGTAACATAAAAAGAAACAAATATTTGTTAGGTATTATATATTGGAATAGTATTTAAAAAAATAGATTTTAGCATCTGTGAACAGTTTTTTGAAAATTAAGATTAATCCAATTTAAACATATTTCTGGCATTAAAAAATTAATTCTAGAAAATACTACTAGACTGAAGAAATTTAAAAAGCGGACAAAAAAGTATAATTTTTCCAAAATTCAAAAGTTTTAAAAATTATTTTTTGGCGTTTTTCTTTAATACTTGTGGCATATATTATTTCCAAATACTTCTTCTTTTTCAAATACCATTTTCAACAATTGTTTCTTTCCTTGTCCATAAATGTGTTGAAGGCTGTTTTTTGTAACCTGCATACAAATTCCCCTTATTTTGTGTTTTACTATTATTTTAATATTTTGACAGGTTATATTTACTTCCCTCAAACAAAAAAAAAAAAAATAATAATTAAAACAAAAAAAACCTAACAGAAAAATGATAGATCTTCAAGATAACAATAACATTGATGCAAAGCCTATAATTTGAGTTAAAGAGTTGATAAGTACAAGCATCACCAATTATAATTAGCTACCGATTTTTGTTTGGTGGCTGACTTTGAAAACATCAAATTTTTCTAAGCCATACATCAATCACCATAAGATTTGACACCACATACCTATATATTTTGTTTAAATGATGACTTGAGAAGGTTAAACATAAATTTGAAATAGACAATGTCACCTCTTTAGAGTTTTGGATAATAAATTAATCATTTATTAAAAACAAAAATCCATTGGAAACGAATCGAAAAAAAAACTTTCTTTTTATTAATGCGCAACACCCTTTTTAATACAAAAAAATTAACTAATTTATTTTAATTAAACGCTTTTAATAGATATATTTTCTTGTTTCGTTTTATTTTTATTTTATTTTATTGTTTACATGTATGTTGTTTTTCTTATCACCATTGGATTACATGGTATAACTAATTCCAACAATATATATAGAGAAATTTATTTAAAGGTGGGGCCTCCTCATTTCAACATCGATCGCAGCGCATTTTATTTGTTTTCACTTCTTCGATGGTTAATAAGAAGATGAAGAAGAAAATAAAAATCCAAAACAAAAACGAAGATGATTCAAATTTTTCTGTTTAGGTTTTGAAGGTTTCTTCATGTGACGCATTAAGATGCTGTGTTGCTGCCGATGATGATTTCTGTCAGCAATTTGACATGCGTTTTTATGTTTGATATTTGTTTTTGTAATGCCCAATAAAAAGTTAAGTAATCATCTGCCACGGCATTAGAGGCGGATGACGATGATGCAGTTGATCAATAATAGCTTTAGTTTTTTTGATTAGTATTTGAAGAGAAATATGCTAATTTTAAGTTAAGTTGAATTTTATTTTAATTTTTGCTTTTAAAAACGGAATTTTATTGTTATTTTTAATGCCGTTTCTTTGATTTTTTTTAATGGTATTCAAAGAAAATAAATAGGCAGGCATTAAGCATACACATTTTATTTCGTATAGAAAACGCCAACGCGATTTATTTTTATATTAAAAAACGAAAAAAAAACTTGGCAAAAATGGTAAACAGTATTGTAATTAAATTATGCTAAAGTACAAAAGACTTAAGACACACACACCACAACCCACCAACAACGCCATGGCATTTTACAGTTCCCTCCACTGAAAATCCTGTTTATTTTTTTTTTTTCTGTTGGAAATTTAGCCCGTTTTCTTTTTTTGCTATTTATTTTGTATATATCATCGTATTTGTATTGTTCTATAAACAAAACCCCACAAATTACTTGCCCTCAACAGGTCATTGTATTGCAACAATCACCATCGCCCACACACATACAAATTAAAGAACCGCCACCCAGTCCTGGAAGTCCCACAAATCAAACAGAAGCCATGTACGCTGCCGGCGGCGGCACTCAAATTTATCTACAGGTGAGTTATACACATACACATACGTTAAATAAAAAAATCAACAAAAACTAAGCACAATGAACCCCAACGTTCATCCCCCATTCATTGTAAACAACTTTGAGAAGAGTTCCTACTCAAACAAAAAATTAAAAAAAAAATGAAATAAACTGGTCATGACAAATTCATCAATGATGCTGCTGCCTGCCGGCTTGGCCACAAATTTTTGATGCTGGTCTATATTCTTCTTTCGTGTTATGTTCTTTTTTGCTTTTTTTCTGCTGTTGTTGTTATGGTTTCACTTTCATGACAGTTGGTGTCAAATATATTGCCTTTTGCGGTAGGCCGCTTTTTTCTGGCTTTGCCTTTGTTCTGGCTACTGTTTTTTGTGTTATTATCATCAATCCTAAGATTATGAGTAGTAAGGTGTTGGGGAACAGGTTGGTGGAACCGTTAATAACAACAACAGTTGTTGATGATGATGCTGATGTTGTTGCTGCTACTGCTGCTGATGATGATGATGGGAAGAACAACATTGGCATTGGTACAAAAAAGGCTGCTAACAAAAATCAACAAATGATTTAGCGCCAGTAGTTACTAAACCGGAATCTCCTCTCCAAAAAGTATATGAAAGAGTCCGACAAGCAAGCAGCAGCAAAAAAGAACACGTTCCTCACACACGCCACAGATCAGCTAACCAAACAAACAACGAAGCAGGCGGACGACCAGCCAGTCAGCTTCATTGAGCACTTATTTCAACAACAGCAAAAACATGCACACCTCCACAAAGCTAAATGCTTTAACGATGGGCTTAAAAAACCAAAGCAAACCGAACCAACCGGACCAGATTCCCTTTCCTTAGCAAACCAACAAAAAATGTTGGGACACATGTGCAAAGTTTTTGTTTTTTTTACTTCTTTCTTCTCACAACACTTAAACTTTAATAAGCTTAACAGCAACACCCCCGCAAATAATACTTTATGATTTATTTTCTTCTGTTATTCTTTTCATTTTCTTCTCACAAAAAAGGGTCCCCATCAAAATTCAGCCGTTGGTCCCGGTGGCAATGTCAACACACAAACACCCAGTCCGGGTCCGTACATAGGAGCCGATGGCTATGGCATGTATGCCACTAGCCGTCTCACCACAGCTCCCACCACGACATTTTTATCGGAACCCTATTATCGGGAATATTTCACCACCACCACAACAACCGATGGCCAAGGTTATGCACCCACACGTACCATATACGGTGACAGTGAGGGACCCCAACCGGGTACTACATACGAGGGACGTTTTACCACAACCACAACAAATAACGGCATACCGCCACCACATTCCACACCAAATGTTTTGAAAAATGGTGGTACACCCATCTATGCCAAGGCAGTTACTGCAGCTGGACTAACAGTGGATTTGCCTAGTCCGGATTCGGGTATTGGAGCTGATGCCATAACGCCGCGTGATCAAAACAATATACAACAGGTAAGTTTAGTAATAGAACTTGAGCGAAAAAGAAAAACATTTAACTAAAACATTAAAACCCAATATTTAACATTTTATGTAGAGGATCCTTAAAAAAGACCCACTAAGAGGGTCATTATTGAAAGGATCCAATATTTTGCAATTTAATAATAACTTTTATTCCAGCCTGTGTGTTTAGTTTAATTTTGTATGTTTGTAGCAAAAACAAAACTGGTATAACTCCAACTCTTCGTGTAATGCGTGTAGCGTCCTGTATTTGTATTTTCATTTTTTTATTGTTGTTGTTACATTTATTTTTAGTTTAACCTTAAAAAATAACATCCAATATTGTTTCAGTTTTGTTTGTAAACAATTTTTTATTTGTATCTATTTTTTGTTTTTTACAGTCCTTCGATTACACAGAACTTTGCCAGCCCGGCTCTTTATTGGACAACAATGGTGGCATTCCAGTTTCCGTTAACAGCATACCACGCGGTGCTGTTAGTGTCCATGGCGGTCAAAATAGTCCGACCACATCATTGGGCGGCACCAGTGCCAATGGCAGTGCTACTCGTTCCAGGCCATGGCATGATTTTGGCCGTCAAAATGATGCGGATAAAATACAAATACCAAAAATGTGAGTAGATTTTTTTCAGATTAAAAAAAAATATTAGTTTTTGAAATTAAAAAATTGAGGAAAATTTGAATACTATAAAATTAAAAAATATAGCAGAAGAAAAAGAGTTAAGCAGGAGAAAAAACCTTTTAAAAATATTCTACATAAAAATCTTTAAAATATATCACAAAAGAAAATATTTTTTAAACTCAGAATTATTTCAATACTACATAAGAAAATATATTTCATAAAAAACATAACACGATTAGCTCTAGCATAAAATTCCAATAAATTAAGCCTAAGGCTCAAGTTACAAAATAAGAGCAAAACGGAAAATAGCTGAGCGAACTGCAGCCCGAGTTTCCGTTTCATGATCTTACGTTTAGTTTTACAATAAGACGAAATCAAATGTCTTTCAGCATAAAGTATCAGCATTCATTTATATTTGTTTAACTTTTAAGGCCTTTTTCCCCCTGGCGGTGTTAACATCCCCCAAAAGGAACAACAACAGTAGCCATGCCATAGACAGCCAAAGAGGATTGAATGCAATTTTTTTTCCTTAAATCTAAGCTTTTTCTATTTCACATCCCTAAAAATATTTCAAAAGTTAGAAGTTATTCTGGAACTGGAACAAATAACTTTTAACATATTCGTTAAAAACACAGAAGAATAGGTCAAATATTCCGTATGAATTCAATATTAGCCCTTGGGAACCATGTTCAAAAATTTCGTTTAATGTCATTACGTCTGTCTCTATTCATTTAAAAATGTATATTACAGAAAATGTACATAGAACTACAATATTTTAAATACATTCATTAAAAAGCTCTAGAAATATAATTCAAATATTTCACAGAAGATCAATAGAAGTCCTTGACAAACATTTTTAAAAAAATTTTCCCAGACACTAGGTCTACGTCAAATTGTTTTAAAAATGTTCTAGAAAGCATACTACCGAACAATCATTATTCAAATAATCATTATTGAGCTACATAAATATTTTTTTGAAAAAATATTCAACCTTCGAAAAGAACTAGTAGCCCTTGGGACCTATTTTTTAAAACTCTAATAAATCTGTAAAAAATTTTGAAATTTGAATATTATTTATTTTAATTATTTCCTTTCCATTATATTAATACATCTTTTTTCTTTAATTTTTGTTACAGTTTCTCAAATGTTGGCTTCAGATATCATCTGGAATCGCCAATTTCATCATCACAACGACGAGAAGATGATCGCATTACATACATCAATAAAGGACAATTTTATGGCATAACATTGGAATATATACCCGATCCGGATAAGCCATTGAAAAATACAACAGCCAAGGTAAGGTTACATCAAAGAAAGAATTCACATTGCATTTACCAGATAAGTCTATTAAAGAGAAATAAAAAAAAACCAAATAAAAAGAGAGAACGAAGAGATAAATCATCAGCAAGGATAGAAGAGAAGAAAAGCATGCAGATATGCAAATTTTAAATTATTTTATTGTTTATTTTTTCTGAGACCTATTTTTGATATATGATGAACCCCATGGATTAGACAATTTCTTAAACAAACATCATGAGAGTGAAACGAGTCATCTTCGTGCGTGTGTGTGAAAAGAAAGAGTTATATAAACAAACGTTTTGGTGATTTGTCATGTTCTGCATGATTTAAGATTATAGCACTTCCTCCCGTCCTGGCAAAAGAAAGACAACTACCCCCTTTTTTTGTCTTTTCTTTAAGTACAGTTGTTGTAAGGCCTTGCGGGCCTTTTTCCTTAGATGATCACTCACTCACTCGTCAATGTCATTTCAAATCAGTGTGTTGTGTGTGCGATTGTTTCCCAATGATATGGCCTAACAGGAGACGATCATCAAGCTGCCGCTGCTGATGATGATGACGATCATGATGAGTTGATAGATGATGAATGATAAATGATTTGTATGAATGATTTATTTCTGTTGATTTTTTTTTTCGTCTCGGATCCTTGTTATTCCTTTTGTTTGGCAATTTGCGCAGTCTATCATCAGATGGAAATTTTTAAAGTTCAAGTGTAAATTTATTTAGGGTTAAGTGCAGAACTATTTCCTTGAGAACGAAGAAGAAGAAAAAAACGAAACATTATCAATCAAAAAGATATGAAAACGAATTTCAAGAAACCGGATATGCAAATTGCTTGTTGTTTTTTGACAAACACTTGAAAGGATATTTCATGTTTTTTATTTTGAGAAACAAATGAAAACTGTTTCAAATTTCCATGGTTTCTCTTGAATGTATTTTTTTTTGTCTTGTTGGTTCATTGCTTTCAATTTGATGTTATAATTTGTCGCCTAAGCTCAAGTTGTAACTTTCCTTTATCGTAAAAAGTGATTTTCACCATTTTGCAAAAAGCAAAGATTTCACTCGTTTAAAATTGATGCGTGTACGCTTAATATCAAATGCGTGGTTGTGTTTATAGCTTAGTGTTTTTTTCATTTAAAGTATATCTCTACCCCTCCATCTAAATGTATGGTTGGCAGCCAAAGGCCTTGAGGCCTGACCATGAAGAAAATTAGAAAATATAAAACATATTTTTTTCTCTCAATTCGTTCGTTCGCCTCACTTTACTCTCAAAGGCCATAACACTGTCCCGACCGACAGACAGACATTTAACTGTATTAATTTTATGATATCAATTTATTTTGTTTGTAATGTCTGGCTACATGAAAATGCTACCGATCTTTTGCTGAGATGTGTTTGCCATTTCCAATAACTGCTGCAGAGCCGTTTGACTTTTTTTATTTTAAACATCTATGATGGCTGGCGTTGATGATTGCATTGCGTAGCTAAGTCTCTGTCGTGGTATATCTTTATTCAGTTTCACAAAAAAAAAAATGAAGATAAGATGCAGTTTTTAAAATGCATTTAAAATTATTTGCATAAAATTCCAATAAATTAAGCCAAAGGCTCAAGTAACAAAACAACAAGAGGAGCAGAGCGAGCAGCAGCAGCCCCAGACTCCGTTTCACGATCGTTGCCTTTAGTCTTGCTCACAATAAGACGAAATCAAATGTCTTTCAGCATAAAGTGTCAGCATTAATTTATGTTTGTTTAACTATTAAGCCCTTTTTCCCCCTGGCGGTGTTAACATCCCCCAAAAGGAACAACAACAGTAGCCATGCCGTAGACAGCCAAAAAGGATTGAATGCAAATTTTTTTTGTTAGTTCATTCTTTTCTGAAAATTATTTATGATCCACGCACAAATACACACACTCACACACACAGCTATGATATCATTTACCTACACGCATATCAAACTGTCTCTCACCTTTTTTAACTAAGCATAACAAATCTTTAAGATGTAAATGTACTTAAAGGATGCACAGGGTGTTAAAATAGCGAAGAAGGGGTTGTTTTGAATACTATTTTTTTGCAGATGCTGCTCATCTTCATCTTAGCTCTTGTCTTTCTATTGTTTTAGTAGTCTATGTTATTATCTCATTTTTTTGTGAATAGAAAAGAAAAATTATGTAAATTTTTATTAATTTTCTGTGATGAAAAAAATCTATAATTTGTTTTAGTATTCATTTTCAAAACAGATTTCCCTCAATTTTTCCTAATCATTTTGACTTTTATTTTTTCTTCTTCTCCTTTTCTCTCCATGTATTTTGTTTTTATGGCGTGATATGATATTTAAATTTGAATATTTAATTTTTGGAAGAAAATAAACAAATTTATTGATTTTCTTTGGAGATTTTTAGAAGATCATTAAATATGATAATTAGTAAGAAACATTTTGGAATGTTTTTTTATTACAATTTTCAAGCAGGCATCTCATTGGTTTGGAGTAAATATTGGGAAATTTACAGATATTATATTTTCCATGAGAAAAAAACAGAGTAGAAAATTTGTTCTCTAAATTTAACTTTAATTCCCTTAAATTAGGGAAACCCTCTTTTTTAAAAAGCTACACGCCTTCAAAAAAAAGCAGTTAAATTTTTTTTTAATTTACGCCTTCAAAAGTTCTTTGAAAAATATTTTTAAAAAAATTGATGCATTTAAAAAATCCACGCCTTGATAGAAAAAAATATTTTTTAAAAACTTCATGCCTTTATATCTATTAGAAAAAATATAGATTAAAGTCTTCATAAATTATTTTAAAAACTATACTCTTTCATAAATGATTGAAAAAACATTTTTTTAAAAAATCTAAGCATTAAAAAAATATTTTTTAGAAAGTATGGGAAATAAATTTATTAATTTATATATTTTCCTTAATATTTATTATGTATTTCTTTTATTAACATTAAAAATATATTTATTATATAATAAATATTTTAAAGTTGAATGTTTTTTGTATTTTTTTATTTTATTGTAAAATGATTAAAAAAATAAATTACTAATTTATTATTTTCTCCTTCTCTTTTCGCCGAACAGAGTGTCATTATGTTAATGTTCCGTGAAGAAAAATCCCCTGAAGATGAAATCAAAGCCTGGCAATTTTGGCACAGTCGACAGCATTCGGTTAAACAGAGAATTTTGGATGCAGGTAAGTCTTATGGTCACAATGTATGTATGTATGTATGTATGTAATCGCGCATTTAAGCGAGACACATAAAAATATTACAAACAAAAAAATCAAAGGGAAAAAGTCAAAAGGTTATAATAAACAAATTATTTACAATCAATGGGGCACAGTGTGTGAAAATGTATGTGTGCGAGTGTGAGGGGTTTTGTTTATTAACTCCCACGTGTGAATTAAACGAAAAACCATACATTGGTCATGGATGGTGGTATTGGGTCACACAACCAAAGTTTTTTTTCTGTTTGATAAAGTTGTATATTAAACATGCTAAGGTTTTATGTCTGTCTGTTTGATTTCCAATTTTTGTTGTTTTTGTTATGAGAGATATGTTTTGAAGATTGACTTGTAATTTGAGACAATGTTGCTTCATTTGTTTGTTGCGTATATTGAATACATGTGTGTGTTTGTATTTTGTCCCTGGATTATGTCCCTCAGTGTCGCTCTCTCACAATACACTGGGAAATAAAATCTTTATTTCTACAACAAGTGTCATATTGAATATTGTTGTAGTTTTAGTTTTTTTTCGTTTTCTTTACAAAAAACCAATGATGCTTATCATTTGGCCAGCAACATATATGCCTATGTGCCCATGTATGCCCAAGTCTCAGTGATTATGTTTTGCCTCCATGGCTGAGTGGCAAACTGACGCTTGTCGTCGTGATCGCCGTCATCGTCGCATTGTCGTCTGGCTGTTTGGTTATTGAAGATCATTGTAAGTTTTGTAATTTTATTGAATACGCATCGAATGAATTTGTTGCGGGCAATGGCCAACGGGCCATTATAACAAAGATTTCATGGCTGATAAAAAAATTAAAGGCCTTAACTTGATACAAAGGCACACCAGACACACACACTCAGACTCTCATATGTTAGCAACATCATTGCATTGGGGTATAGTATTTTTTTCTTTTTGCATCACAAAGGGGAGTACAATTCATTGGCAATCACCTGCAATCGGCCAATTCTTCGTTGGTTTGGCTAATTGGAAAAAATCATACAACAAAAAAAGGAGCCAACACAAAAGAGTAATCAGAAGAGATGCCGGTAGGATTTATAACAAGAAAAACAAAAACTTAGATTTGATGATTATTTCCAAGCAAACGTAAGATTTAGCCATATTCACCTGATCAAGGATTTAAATCTCGATATTCTTTTATTTAAAAATTTCTTTTTTTTTCGTTTCCAAAATGTCACATAATTATAAATTGTTAATTCTACTTTAACACTTTAGAGTACCACATATATCAAATACCTCGATTTTGATAGGAAATTTTTTAAAAATGGATATTTCGAAAAACTGAGGCCAATTTTTTGGGTGTTAAAATCATGACTCTGAGATTAATATTTTAATTGTTTAAATTTAAATTCTAAATTCCCCTATGTTGTTTTTATAAAAAATCTCCATATAATAGATTTTATTAATTTCCCCAACGACATCCCTAACCAACCACTTTTTAGCAGTGTTGTCGCCATTACCACCATCCTCATTGTAACTTCTCACAAGGAAAGAAAGATTTTTACATTGTGATAAGTAATTGCTAATATGTTTTAAGCATAAATTTATTTATTTGTATATAGTTGTAAAAGAACAACAGCGTATTATCATCGTATGCATGTGTATGCATGCATATGTGGTAAAGATGACAAATGACCCAATCATAAACATTCTTTACTTTTTTGGATTTTTTTAATAAATACATTTTTGTATTTTTTCCCATAGATACCAAGAATTCAGTTGGTTTAGCTGGTTGTATTGAAGAAGTCTCCCACAATGCCATAGCAGTCTATTGGAATCCTTTGGAAAGTTCCGCCAAGGTAAGTCTACACATTTTTTTCTTATCTCATTTTTTATTTAAAAAATATAACCAAAATGAAGTTCAAGACTCTTTTCCCCTCCCAGCGGCCTGAGAAATCTGTTAATGCTTTGCTTAAAAGTTATTGAATAATTTCCTTGATGTTGTAATTTAGTTTAACATATTTCCACTGTATTACGTGGCCATTTCATAAGCTAAATGTTACATCCTCTCTGGCGGTTGAGTCCCAGATTTCAGAGAGGCCTTCTGTTTCACAGCCATTCATTGTTCAGCGTTCACAAAGGAAGCGGCAACACCGCACAACAACAACAACAAAATACATAATGTTAATGAAAACACATAAATATCAGCAAGCGATTAAAGCTAATCAAGCTTAATTGCAAAAAAGCATTCAGTAGCTGAATGAAAAATAAGGGAACCTAACTTTAGCCAATGAGCATAAGGTGTTGTCGTCTCACAGACTCTGTCTGGCTGATTGCCTCTATGAGCTTTAACATTTTTTTGTTTTCGTTTTGTTAGCGTGCATAACTTATGAAAAATATCTCAATTTCCGTTGATGAAAATTACATGACTATCTATAGCAGGCAGCCGCCCATGTTATAGTCCAAGCCAAGAAAATAAGTGCCTACCACCATTAACTGGAAAATTGTATTCATATGGAAATGCTTTTTTTCTGCTGTGCACCTTTCTTGCTGAAAGGCCTCAGGTTGTATGCCACAATCTTAAAGGTGGCCTAATACACTTCGATTTTGCAGAACAAACGCAGATCCAGAAACGAACTGCAACATGAAATATTGTTTAGGAATTGCTAATGCCTACAATGGCAGCACCTGGCATGCACCACCATCCTCCTTGAGCCATTTTGCATTCTCTTCGAAATTTATTCTACTATTTGAATTTTTTAAGTTGTTGCATTTTGTAATCATAATACTTTAATGTGGCATTGAAATATGCCGTACATTTCAACGAAATCATTTCTTTGTATTTTTTCTCTCCTTTGACTGGAGTTTTTTCTTGTTTAAAAGAAAATCTGAAAAATTATGTTATACGATTGTGGCATCATAACTATAAGCTTAATACAAATTATTAAAGGTAATTTGTATTCATATTTAAAGTGTAGCACATTTGTTAATGCGTAAAGAATAATTTTTATGGTGGGGATGGTGGCTTTGAAGAAGCAAAGAGATATAGATAGAGAGAGGGAGCCATATAAAAGACAAATTTAATTATAGAAGGATTACTGAACATTTTTTTAAATGTATAGTTAGTTCTATTTATGGTGAAAATATGTTTAAAAATAGCCTAGATCATAAATAAGAGATCCTCAAAACGGATAAAATTATTTATCCATGACTGAAATAGATGAATATCACAAGAGAAAGAGAGAGAGAGAGAGAGAGAGGGGGATAGATACACGAATATTGAAACTCCATCTATACATGAGAAGTCCCTCTCTCTCCCCCTCTCTCCCATTTTGTATGAAGAGTTCATTAAAATGTATTTGAGAAACGATTCAAATAACGAAAGACTTAAGAAACAAACTATTTTCATAGAAAATTTAATGTTTTTATTTTTTCCCATCCCTTTTACATGCCAGAGAAGATACTGTAGGAAAAATTATTTATTTTATTTGAAGCATTGAATTATTGAGAGTATCTAATATGCTAAAGCTCCATCTACATATGAATTGTATAGGGAACTAACAAAAGACTTAAGAAGATAATACATATATACATTTTCTATATCCAATCTCGGCATACGATTGTATTTGTTAAAAATGTATGCACATATAAAGACTTAAGCGACAAACTGTCAATGAAAAATTACTTTCTTGAAAACATTTTATCTCTTGGCTATTTTTTTTTAATTTCTTTTGATAAAAGTATATATCAAAAAATATTTTTCTGATCAATCTTCTTTTCCAACTTTTTTTATCTCATCCAAGCCCAAAAACGCCATCTATATTTCAAATTAAATTCACATTTTGGAAATTTTTTTTTTTGTTTTTGAACAAAACTAAAGACTTAAACAAACTTTCTTTGAATTATATTTTTTTGTCCCTGCAGAGAAAATCAACTAATTTTAAAACCATAACATCACATATTTTATGGGAATGTTATACGAAACAAAGTATAATAACAGCTTTTTCACCAATCGCAAATAAAATCAGTGAACTCCTAAATTATTCAAATGATTTCAATTTGAATTTTATTGCAAATACATATCGCTTCATTTTACACGCATAAATACTAAGATTTAATGGAAATTTGTCAACTATACCCCTCTAACAGAAAATACAAAACGTAAAAAATAGGCGTTTTCATTTTGTATATGATTTCAGCCAATTAGAAAACGTTTACAGCAACATTGCGTTTTGGCTGTTTTGCTTCTTTTACACTGACACTTAAATATGTACGCCATTGGAAAATTAATATGACAAACAAATTAAACAGAAAACACACGCACTCACGACGAGAAACAAATGAATGCCATACGACACCCAACTGTACTAAAAGCCAAAAAGAAACAGTTAGCAAAACTCTATCTTTCTGGCCATAATAGTGAGTCAAAATGGTGGTCGTCGTCGTATTGTGTGGTTGACGTAATCATTAATACTAATGTGTCTCGCATTATTGTTATTACTTTGGCAATTAGCACCTCACGCACTTGTCTGGGCTGTCGTCCAGTTGGCCATTGGCATTTTCACGTTGTGTCTGTTTCTTTTTTTAATTCCTTTTTTGTTTTGTTTTTGTTGCTTGCCTGCCTTAAAGCTTTTAACATAAAACTGCATAAAAATTATCGCATAAATTGAAATAAATAATACACAGAGCAAAGCAATTTAAAGACATAAGTGATGTCTGACTCATTTACTCGGTTACTGATTCAGGCAATGGCACATTTAGCCATGTTATGTAAATCGTTATATTATTAAGATTTACAAAAAGAAGAAAAAAAACAATTGGAATGGCCAATAAAGAAATTATCCATAGAGTAGTAGCCTGGAATTTCAAATGAATGTCACCCGGCGAGACATTAAGACTACATTGTTTCTGTGATTAATACGTCGTATAATTTTGATTAAGTTACTTGGATTTGTTATTGATAAGGCTGGCTGGCACTACTTTGTTTACTAAATCCAAATGATTTGTTATGTTAATTAATTTGAAAGCTCGACATTATTAATTTTTTCTAATATAAACAAATATTTAAAAGTAGAATTAGAATGAAAAATAAAAAAATATTTTTTTTATTTTTTAATTTATTATACATTCCAAGCAATGTTGTTGTAATTTTAATTGAAATTATATTGAAATGTTTTTTTTAAGTTTAGTTTCAACAGCAACAAAAACAATGCAATGCAATTAAATCATTTGCAATTTCCTGTGCAAATCTCAAAAAGCTTGCAAAAAAAAAAAATAACGTCAATATCACACACATGCAATTGGTCATTTTATTATATTAACTATACAATGGTCACCAATACACCTAATGCGGGGTTATAAAAAAACACATATTTACTCGATAAAAAAAAACTCCTTGCAAAAATAAATCCCAAACCATGCGGACTAGATAGATGGTTCGTTTTCATTTGGTGGTATTGTAGTAAAGATTTTTGTTAATAAATCACATTTAGTATATTTTGTTGTTGTTGTTTGTTTTTTTCATCACAAACTGACATTCAACTCCAACATTTGTAGTTTTACATTTTGTCAGAGCAACCACAACAACAACTGACTGCCACAGTTATAGTTTTATTGCAAATGCATTCTATTACCATTATGTCAGCCAGCCAATGCACAAAATGTTTTTTCTTCTATTTTTTGTATTTCAAATCTGTTTATATCGTTTCAGTCTGTCTGTCTGCTTCTATCTTATCTTAGAGTGAATAGTTTCTTTATGCATTTCCTTTCCCCCAAACAACCACACGAAGCTACTGACTACCGACTTCAATGGCTGGCCAGCCAGGCATTTCATAGTTTCGTCATTGTTAGTGTTTGCCGCAGTCGATCGTTCCATTGGTCGGTCAACTCTTGCCAGTTATATTGTGTCCAACAAAAAAAGAGGCTTATTAAAGTATTAAAATTTATTGCAAATGTGCTAAATAACTAACGAACAAAAATTTCCATAAAATATTGAAATATTATTAGAAGAAAAAAATCGTACAGCAACAACAACAATAACGACAAATGATATTGTTGTTAGTGATTTTTTTGCTATTCGCCGTCTGGCTGTTGTTTACAAACTATCAGGTCAATTATGACACTTGTTTTGTTGAAAAAAGTAATATTTCAATTTGAATAATATAATTAAATATGTAGTTTATTTTTGTTGTTGTTTTTTGAGAAGTGAAAAATAACACACAAACAGCAGAACAACAAACAAAGTACTGTTCTAAAATTGTTAATGTGTTGTTTATGTTTGTTGCTTAAGTCTTTTGTTTTTGTTTCAAATGGGTTTATGCATTTTGGAAAGTATATTTTATTATGGGCGAGAGGAAAGAGAACTCGACACATTTTGAAATTAAAAAGAGAGTTTTATTTTTTTTCAGTATTAGGCAAGGGGGGAAAATAATATCTTGGCAACATATTAAATTAATTAATGTTTATACAAAAATAAATTGCCAGCAAATACCACATCTAAAATATTTAAGAAAAACCTCACACAGTTCCATGCATGCATTTCTAGGTTAAAATAACAGTTAGATGTTCGTTGCTTAAGTCTTTCGTTTTGTAGCTATATTTTTAAAATGTTTAATACTTTGCCTTTGTACTGAATTAACCCAAGAAGAATACAAAGTCTCCTCTTATTCCAATAATTTCAAATGATAAGGAATTCTAATCAACATTCTGTGCATATTATACTACGTGTTACTTCTAAGCTATTCTAAATTCTCTCTCTAAATTGGAATCGAATATTCAATTGCAGTTATTTTTATCTCTATTTTTCTTCTCAATAATTTAAAAAGATTCTTTGTTTTTTATATTAATTATTTAAATAGAAAACCTAATTTAAATATTTTATTTGAAATTCCCTCAAACAAAAGACTTAAGCAGCAAACTCCTCATCACCATATAAGGCCCATAATATATTTTCTACTTCTTCTGCTTAACATTCCTTATGGCTTGATATTCATTCTACAGTTTCTGCAGACTTTGAAAGCATGGAATTTATAGAAGAATTCCCTTGACAAATTAGCTATGCCTACACCAAAGATATGTTAACAATTAGCCTGTCTAAGACCATAAGAGAAAAGATCAAGCAAACGAAGGAGATGAAGAGGAAACAAAATTGCAATTTAATAAAGACTCAAAACTTCCTTATAACTACAAAGAAAAAGAAAAAAATCTGATGAGCTTACAAAATCAAATAAAGCATATCTTTGAAAGCTAAGCTAAGTCCAGGCAGGCAGGTGTGGCACGTACTGTCTTGTTGTTGTTTTTTCTTTTTTGTTTTTGTAATTGCTTTTCCTTGCCAGCATATAAAGTCAAACATTTTACATAGCTTCTGCCATTGTCATCTGTTAGAAGACCATAATAGCGTTTGTCGTCTTGGACTTGGATTGTGTATGGCTGTTTGTATCCTTATTATGGCTATGTAACTGTGCGTTTTTTGCTTTACTGTACTGTGCTTGCATACTGCGTGCGGCCAAGCCACAATTCAACCTCTACTTAATTAATTTCCTTTTTGCTTAGTCAAAGTAACAAATAATAAGATATATTTTCCCCATTGCTGCTAAAGCCAGCCTTAGACATTGTTGTGGTGTTTTGTGGAAAAAATGTTTAAAATTGCCAAATACATTTATGGTGTTGTTTAAAATGTTTGAGTTAATGTTATGATGGCAAAGTCTATGTGTGTGTGTGTGCGAGCGCACATGCTTAAATGTCTGTGAAATTCATTTACAAATTGTCGGTTAAATAAAAATCCACCTTGCCAGTTGTGATGGTCCGCTACATGTGCCAGCTAAGTTTTAACGATAATGTCACATTTACCAGCCAGCATAATCAACCTACCCCTCCTCCTTTACACAAGAAAAAAGTCTTTTGTCTTTAAAACAAAATGACGGCTGCAAATCTCAGCAAAATATGGAAACCCCCAAAAGAAAGAAAGAAAGAAAGATGGCAAAAATCATCATAATATTATTTGGATGTTGTTGTTGTGGTGGTGTTTTGCGGCAATTGTAAGGTGCCATGGCACTCTGCAGGTTGCAGGGTATTTGAGGTTTCGTTATTGTCTTTGAAACATCATGTCTAAGTGTCTGTGCCATGCTGAGATGAAGCTTCTTTTGTTTGTTGTGGGGCTTACTACTACTGCTGTTGTTTTTGTTGTTGATGATGGCCATGTAAAGCAGCAGCAGCACCGACGAATGACGTACAGCAGCCGCCTGTGCAATCGAGTGAGTGAATGGTGGCTCTGCCCTAAGCTTTATTTGGTAAAGCCTGTGTTCGCTAATTAATTCCCATTAAACGCTAGTGGCTGTTTTGGTTGGTTCGTTGGATGGATGGACGGTAGGTTGGATGGATGTATGGTGTGTATGTTGTGCATTATTGCACTTTGCCATTAAAAATGGTTGACGCTCTCCAAACCAAAATGTGTGTTGGCTGGCTGCATGGCTCAAATGTTAGCACAGTGATTATGCGTTTTTTGTTTTTGTTTCAAGCACCAAACACCAGCAGCAGCTGTAACACAGCATCCGTTGATGTTGTTGATGATGATGGATTTTCCTTTAGATTGCCCCTTTTGTAAATGAATTGTGCGTAACTGTATGTCCACACTTACACACATGTGTGTTCGAGTGTGTGTTTGTCTCATTTTTATTTTGCAATGGCATTCTCGAAATTGTTTTAAACACATTTCCATTGAAACCAAAAAAATCAAAAAAATTTAAAAAAAAAACATACAAAACAATTACAAAAAGTCTACAAGTCAAGCTCAAACATACACACACTCACACAATATACGCACAATAATCAAATAAACAAAACAAAAAACAGCAGCAATAACTATGGCATTAGCGGCCTGCTTGGCAGCGTCATCATCAGCCGGCCAGTCAGCCCGGCCGTCAAGCAAAGCAAACAAGCACTTAACAAGTTGTATAATTGAAGTTGCTCGCATACTTAAGTCCATGATGATGATGTGCGTTACAATGATATTAAATAAAAATTAAATGTTTGGCCCGTTGACCGTTTGGCATCTTCTGATTCGACTCCATTGGCCAGCACTCCAATGGAGTGTCTGTAGTTTGTTGTTGTTGTTTTTTTTCTTCAGTCAAAGATTTATTGTAATGTTTGCTTAGAAGAAACAACAACAAAAACATATATCTATGCTGCTAATGGTTGTTGCTGCTGTGCAGCGGTCATCATCACCATAATGGTCAAGTAGCAAAACTTTAAAGCCCATGTAGTTGGTTTATTTAAGTGTTGTTTGGTTTTTTTCTGCTGCTTCTTTCTAAGCATTATTTTTCCTTTTGCTCAAATCTTATGGCAATTAATAGCCAATGACAAATGTTGCTGCCAAATACATAACTGCATCTAGGCAATTGCCAATATGCTTTGATTTGCAATATTGTTGGTTTTTATTATTGAACTCTTGTGCTTCTTCTTTATAATTTCGATTTATGATTTCCTTATGATTTTTTTCTGTCTGCCATTATGGCCATTTATTTTTGTTGTAAATATTATTTTCTAATAATGTGCATTTTTTGTTTGTTTTTTTACAGATTAATATAGCCGTGCAATGTTTAAGTACAGATTTTAGCAGTCAGAAAGGTGTTAAGGTAAGTCAAAATTTTTTTAATAACGTATGTACATTAATTCAAATATTACATATAAATAATTAATTACTAAATTACTAAAAAAAATTAAAAAAATCCTAGCTCATAAAAGACTTAAGACACAAACAGGAATATATAAAATGTTGGAAATGTTTTTTTTTTTTTTTTTATTAAAAATTAAAAAAAAAAATTTTATTAAAAAAAAAATAGTGGATTTTTTTTAATATCTCGCCCACCTCCCCCTCCTTTACAAAATTACAAATACCATATTATTGCCTATGTTAATTACATTCTTTAAGATTGATTGATCAACTTGTCATTGCGAGAAAAAAAATATTCTTGGAAAATCACCCTCAAACATGTACAGATTTCAATATCTAGAGTTTAACAAAAAACTTAACATTTTCATTATTTATTCATTAATAACCAATTAGATGTCTTATGGTTTGACAGTAAATTATTCATAAAATATATCCCGAGGAGGTTCATAAAGTTAATAATATATTTTTCTTGGTGTGTAATAATAGGTTTTGAAAACAATTTGTTTTCATATGGAAACAAAACGCCGAGCTGTCAGTTGTAAAAAAATAAATATGTTATGAGTCAGAGCTTTTTTGTAACTAAGTGATTAAAAATCTATTTATTATTAATTACATTTGTAATATGTAATAGAAAAGTGAAATGAACGACAATTTATTGTTGCTAATTCGATCAATTAAAATCTTAAAATAGTTCACTTTCATTATTGTAACAACAAATTACATCCATATTAATTACACCAAACAATTGGAAGAAAATTGACTACCAATTTTAGATATTTTTAAAGTAAACATATTCATTGGCTATATAGATTATTAAATCCATACAATATTTCTTATAGGGTTTTAAAATCATTGACTATTTTATGTCAATTTTGTCCCTATTAATAGAAATGGACCCACTCATTTTATTAATATTTGTATTAAATTCGAATACTATCCTTTAATATATTTCAAATCGGTATTTCTGAAGTTAAGCCCTATATACATAGAAAGGTTACTTTTTTAATTTCCATCCCTTTTGTTTTAATATTTGTCCTCCATATATTATCTCTTAAAATATTTCAAAATCAAGTCGGCACTTCTTCAAGTCCTTCCCCATTAGAACATAATTTAATATGACATTAATACATTGCTCAAATTCGGGTTGCCTTGAAATTCACTGGACAATAAATTTTCCTTTATTACAATCAATTCATAATAATAAAAAATAATTATAAAAATCATATTTTCCAATTATATGAAACGCAAATAAAAGAAAAAAGGAACAACCCTCCCCTAAAATCTTCTCATTACACAAGTGCCGAACACAATAAACACAGGTAGAAAATCTTTTAATTTAAAAAGTCATTCTCAGTGATTTCTTAAAACCATTTGGGAACAAGTGACAATGACAATTTCCAATTTTCAAATCGCCAAGGGTTCTCTTTTTCCTTTGTAATAAATGTCAAACGAAAATCAAGTGATTTAAGACGATAAACCCAACAAAGATTCTAAGCAGACATTGACAAGGGATTCCTTTTTTATTACAATACTGAATTTTTTCTCACCGATTTTATAAAAAAAAATGAAACAATTTATCTACATATGGGACAACACATGTGTAAGTGTGTCTGTGTGTAACATGTGTATGGAAACACCTGTAACACCAATGATACTGAAAATTAAAAATAAAATAAAAATCTTTTAAAAAAGAGGAAACACGAAGAACGATACAACGTTATAAGTTATGGCCCGGCCAGACATCACAGTCAGCCAGCCAATATGACAACAAACACCATGAATGGTTGTTATCTTAATTAAAAAATACATTTTGCTGCAACATAAACAACTAACAAATGTTGCATGCAGCACAAAACTAAAGCAGCACACAACAAATATTCCCAATAACAATACTAATAATAATAAAATCAACTTTTGCTGTCCCTGTTGCTCTGCCTCCACCCAATCCTGCAATGTGTACGATATCAAATTCATGCATTGGCACACACAGATGGACAGACAGACAAAGAAAAATATGACCATTTACCAATACGGCCTAACAAATCAGGCATCATCCATAGTTATGGACTTTAATTTATATTTCATTTTTCGTTGTGAATTTCACTTTACCCACCAGCCATGCTCTGAATTGCTCTGAATTTTGTCACCTGCTAAAAAATGGTTATAACTTCGATGAGATCTTCCCCTTCATTCATTACAACAAGGTGTTGGTTGTCTTGCTGGCTTTGGCTGGTTCATCTTTCTATCTTTTGATCAGCATGTTTGTATGCATGTATGTATGTGCGTACGCGTGTGTGTGTCTATATTTTGTATTGCAACATGCAAAGCGCCCACTTGATAAGTCATTAATAATAATTTTTTGTTTTCGAAGTTTATTCGTTTTTTTTTTGTATTCACTTTAATTCTCAATTTATTTCATCTTTTGTCGTGGTGTTGTGGTTGTTGTTCAATGCTCTTATGGTAGACATGATTATATTGTCGTGGCTAAAATGTAACAAAGACATGCAAAACTAACAACAAGTAAGGCTGGACAGACGCAACACTTTTTTTTGGTTAATATCATTAATATATTTACATATATATCCCATAGCATGTCTGTCCATTTGATTTTATGTCCGCATAATGTCTGTCTCCCCGTCCATTTGTAACGTCATGCGTCATATATACATGACAGATTGCATTTGTTTTTGGTTTTTATGTTGCTGTTGTTGTTGTTGTTTAGCTGTTAAGAAATAAAATGTATTGGAAATTTATTAAAATTTTTCAAGAGTAGACTCGTTTTTTTATTTTTTCATTTCTTAATGTCGTGTTTGTTATGGCAGCATAGCAGTAACAGCAACAACAAAAACAACATCACACGGCCAAGTTGATTTAATTTTGTTGTTATTGCAGAGTGTCGCTTTTGTCCATTTTTTTACGATGCGTGAAAATATTATGGCAAAAAGGAGTGAATGAACAACAAACACCCCAAAGTGATTGTTGCTGGCCTGGGATGCCTTGGACTGACCAGGCTGGCTGCATGCCTGTATGCTGTTAAACGTTGCTTTACAAACAAACAACACATTTTATGCTTTTCATGTGCGACATGATGTTAAGGCAAATGTTAAATCGATATTTTATTGACAGATGCGGCAGCAAATAATAGCAAAACATGTTTAAGCCGTTGTTGGTTGTTTCCTTTAAAACAAAATACACACACAGATACTCGCACTCAATCAGACAAACACATGATTTTCCTTTTAGGTTAAGCTATGGTCAAAAGGCTTTGAGAAAGAAACCAACGCAAAAAACTGTTGTTGCCTTAGATCTTCAAACCAAAAAAAAAAAAAAAATGCGTGAGATATTGTTTATAAGTTCCCAACCCCATGAAATATAATAGAAAGCTTAGCGCGCCAAATATCATGTAGTTTAACACTTCTTCGATCAGGTTACAACAACGCCTTTTTTATTTATTTTTTTTCGTATGCTTAGTTTTATGACAAGATCGGTAAAGAGCCTGTAAGCTTGCAAAGAAACGTACAACAAACGCCTGAAGTAATACCACCACCACGAAATTGCCTGGACAGTTATTATTATTTCTTTGATTCTTGTTTGTTGTTGTTGTTTTTTCTGCTTCTTTTCATAAATTAAACAACGACAACAGTTTTTCCTTTTGCTTAATGATTTATGTTGGCAATTTAATGTATATTGTTTGCCATGAAGGCGTTAATAATACATGTGCAATATCTACAAATAAATGGTGCTTAAAGTGGGCCACACGAAAAACAGTGACAAATTGAAAAAAAAAAAAACAAAAAGAAAAATCGTAAAACTATTCAAATAAACAGAAGGTGGTCCAAGTTTTAAACTAATATTAATTTTTATTCGATTTTTCTAGTTAGATCTCCTACACAATGTCATTGAGAAATATTGGAATTCATTTATTTAAATAATTGTTACCGAAACTTAGCCCTTGTCTATATTATTTCTCTCTCACTCTCTTTTCTTAATATAAATAAAAATAATGTTTTTGTCTTAAGTCTTTTGAATTCACATTTTATTATTTTCCCAAGACATTATTATTTTCATTTATAATATGTGATCGTAATAACTTAAGTTTCTTAAATCTTCTTTAACTCCTATGATAACAGAAAACATCTCTCTCTCTTCTCTCTCTCTCTCTCTCTCTTTCTCTCGTATTTTCATGGCAATTCCAATTAAATAATTAAGCTTTTAAATAAAGTGTGTGTCTTAAGTCTTTTAAATTTATATCACGGACTCTCTCTTCTATGTGTGAGCTCGCCGTTATATTTATTGGTGTTTTGCAAAGCTAAGAGAGTCAGTTAACTGTATCTGGTTCGAGAGAACTATTGTATTTTTTCTTATTCTCTCATTTCAAATCTTTGTTCCAAACTGTGATAATGAATAAAATCTTGAGATATTCGCCCATGCTTCCTTCTCTTAGAGAGAGAGAAAGAGAGAGAGTGGGATAAAAAATGTTTCCTCAGATAAATTTGTCTTCTCTAAACAAATCAGCAGCATCTTTACTTTAGGAGTCTTTTATAAAATAAAGCATTACTAAAGTTTTGATGATTGTGTCTTAAGTCATTTAATTTATACAAATTATAACTAAATAATCATTTGTAATAAGAATTTAACATTCGTCACATTCTTATTTTTTTTAATTTTATAAATGTCACTAGCATTTCCATTACCCTACTTTTTTATTGTCTCATGTCAAATAGTGGCGTTTATCGATTTCCAAATATTTAATATGCAAACGTTTTTCGAGACAATTTTAATTGATTGCTCTAATTCCAATTATTATTGCTTTTTTCTTCGTTATTGATTTCTGTCATTTTTTGCAATTTGGCTTTGCAATGTTTTCCAAACAAATGCCAAATGGCGACATTTATGATTGAGGTTTAATACATATCTCGCTGAAAGCAAACGGAAGTTGCTACTTAAAAAAAGTATTGGGTTGATTTTTATACCCACAAGAGCTGTGAGATTATAGATCTTGGTTAAATAAGAATTGAGAGATTATTTCATGAGATAAAAATAAGTTGCAATGTTGCAAGAAAAGTTAATTTAATGTCAATATTTAACAAAAAAAAATAGCTTTTTTAAAGTTTGAACATAAAAACAGTTTTTTAATTATAAAATTTAAACCTTAAACAATAATTAAATATTTTTTTTATATATTTATTTATTATTTTATATTATATTTTTTAATTTTTTTCTTTTTTATATCCCTTAATTAATTATTATTTTTATTTTTCTTCTCTTTTCCATTTTTTAGGGTCTCCCATTACACATACAAATTGATACCTTTGAAGATCCCCGTGACACACAAGTCTTCCATCGAGGCTATTGTCAAATTAAAGTTTTCTGCGATAAGGTAAGTGCCGTTGCCGTGTTTTTTCATTATTTTTTGCTCCCTTTTTCGTTTAATTTAATTTTGTGTTACTTGTATTGTATGCTTTCATTTCCTTGATGTCAAGTGTCATGTTTTGTTTTGGTGTTTTTTTGGGCAGAAGGGCTTTCAAAGTAGGCGTCCATTTCAAAATGACAACATGCATGACATCAATTTTAAAGCCCTTCAAAAAGTTGCCATTTTGGACAGGCAATTTTTAAGTCGGCTTAATACAAAAGGAAGACAGTTTTATGAGATTTTTTTTTTGGATTTTGTATTGTTTGTTTTTAAAAACTGTCAAAAATTAAATTGATAACCTCGAAGAAGGGTTTTAAGGGACGTCATTTTGGGATTTTTTCTTTATTAAGTGAAGATTTTTTGGGAGATTATTAAATTAAATTAATTTCATTTTATATAAAAAATTTTGTTTAGCTCCGATTACTGGTTATAAAGTCCTCTATAAATCACCTAAAATTCCTCTAATTATATTTCTATCCCAATCATGCAATGTTTGAAAATGTTTTCAATCCTAATCAAGTTTGTGTCCTAAGTCTTTTGATTTCTCAAGAAATTATTATTTTTCAATATAAAAAACTCTTACTTATTTTTTGATAAAACCGATGTACAGGTTATTTACCACAGAGTGTAAAAAAATCCCATTTTCTTAAGAAATATACAATGTATGTGTCTTAAGTCTTTCATTGCTGCGCTAATATAACCACATTATCACTTTTTGAATTCAGTATTATTTTTTCTGTGGTTTGATACAGTTTCTTTGGAAGTGTGTTTTTTTTTTTTGTCTTTACATTTAAATGTATTAAATTAACATATATATGTGCAATTTCATTTTTTGTTTCGTTGAATTATCGGAGATGAAAACAAAACAGAAAATCCCCCTCCATCTGTTCGAGAAAAAAAGGTATCACACACAACGATTTTCTTAAAGGTAACCCACTTGTTTTTGTTATGCGTCATTGAGAATATCATTTGGTTAGATTGATATATAGGTTTTTTATTTATTTTTTTTTTTTCAATGTGTGTGTGTGAGTTTATTGAAATCTTAATGCTTCATTAGTATTTTGTTTTGTGTTTTTTTTTTCATCTCTGACATTGCTAGCCTACTATTGTGGAGTAGGCAAATGTGTGTGTGCGTGGCTGTGTATTTAGCCTTAGTTTTTATTTTTTCTGATTGCACAGGGCTTGTGTAGGTCCCCCTATGTTGTTGTGTTTTTTTTTCGAGATCATTGTGTGGTGGCAATGCAATTCATTATAGCGTGCCATGCATGAGACTTGATTGTTGGTTTGCTAAGGGACCGGACCCTATGTCTTTGTTGTTTACTACCTTATATTTTTTTCAAAGCCATTGGTCTGAGTGTGTGTGTTGCTGTGTTACTTCATCACTTCATGAACACACTTCTATAACGCATGCTGTTTGCTGCGTAATAATATACAGAGAAAACACACATATAAACCTTTATAGATATGTAATCGATACAAGAAATCCACCAGCCGATCGATTGAACGGCCTGCCAGCCAGCCAGCCAACTGCCAACATCATCTCATCTCTCATTGTATATTATTGAATGAAGGGGACCCTTTCCCTTTTGATTGTAGGTATTACGCAAACTAAAGTAATACAAGATTTTTACATTTATGATGCTATTGTTGTTGTTGTTGCTTGACTTTGCTTTACTTTTTTGTGTGAAATCAAGAAGTAACCTACAAAAAATGCCACAACCTTAAAGATGAAGTGTTAAAATCTCCCTTGTGTGTATGGTTTTTTGCCAGTCCACCATTATAAGGATTCCTTTGAAAGGTTACATCAAGCCAGGGCAGGCTGCTGGGTTGGTTGTCGGTGTGCTGCACTTGTTATGTGAACCTTATGTTTGGCCTGACAACAAGGCACCTTTGGCCTTAAACATTAACAGCAACATTATGGCCAACATTTACAGTTTAAAGCCTTAAGGGCTTTTCCCAAAACTAAAGAAGAAACTCATGGCAACCTCCTTTAATGTAAAATGATAGCATAGCGAAAAAAACTCTCAGCCAAAGTGGCCAAAATATGTATCATTGTCCTCAACAAGACAAAAAATAAAAAAAATGCGGCTCTTCTTCATTCTGCATTGTTGTAGTTATTTCATCTTTGTTGTTGTGCTCTTGTTGTTGCCAACGTGCAATCTCGCCCCATTTATTTTAACATGAAATTTAACTTTTACAAATTTTCAGTTATGTTAATATTAAGTTTTGTGCTTATGTTTTATATGAAAAAAAACAACAACAACAGCTTCAAGAAAAAAAATCAATGGCATTTTTCCATTATTGCTGATGCTGTTGTTGTTATTATTGTCTTATTTCCTTTTTTGATTGGTTTTTTGTTGTTGTTGCTGATTTTTTTTCTTCTGTAATGTTCGTGCATATGTAATTTAAGCAAGCAATAATCATATGGCTCTGGCAACATCGGTGATGCTATCAATTAAATTTGTGTTTCTTATAATAGTGTTTATTATAGTTGGTATGTAGCCAGCCAGCCGATATTGTTGTTGTAATTTCATAAAATTCCATTGAATTCAAATTAGCGCATAGCCTTCAATATTATCAAGAGCTTGTGAGCTGCAACGACAGCCTAAAGCCATAAGAAGAAACAAACCAATAAAATAATATAAGGCAGCAGCAACAACAACCTAACAATTGGTTTTGGTGGGGATGCAACCTGGCCTGAAACATAACAACAGTAGCTTTATTTCAGTTATACATTTTCTGTGATCATTCACAACTTTGTTTTTGTTGTGGACGTTTTTTTCAAAAGAAATTCTTTTTTTTACTTCATACCTGGCTGATTCATTTTCCGTTTTAGAAAGTATAACATTATGTTTATGTCAGCTACTGCTGTTGATTATTGCTTAGTTTTTTTGTTTTTGTCTTCTTCAATTGTGTCTTTGGCATGTTATTTTCTACAGCATTTAAGCAAACCACACCCAAAATTAAAATGCAAAGGCATTTTAACCACAACCGCACATACTTATTGTTTTATTAGCCATCAATGCCCATTTAATGGCCCGTCTGATGATCTTTAGTTTTAATCTAAAAACTGAAAAAACAGACATGATGCCATGACTTTACTCTCATTTAGTAAATATAATGGATTTTCAATTAATTAGCAACAAAAGAAACTGGAGAAAGCAATTGAATGGAAAAATGCCTCTCCATCCCCCTTCACAATAAGTTAAAGTTTTCTTTTTGTAATTCCACAAGAAAAAAATTCTTGGGTTTCATTCAACAAATTTGTATTTCTAATCTACATTTTTTCCTATTGCCTTCAATTTTTTTGTTTTGATTATCTTTGATGTGTTTTTTCGTTCTGTAATTAGCGTTGCTTTCTTTCTCTCTCTCTCTTTTGAATACTAATTGAAGTAGATTTTTTCTTCAATGAATTTTATTACAAATACTTGACACAAAAAAACCTGAAATTTAAATTTAAACCACCTAATCAATGTTTGGAGTGCCAACATTATTTGGCAAACAAGTTTTTAGATAAACGAACGCCAAAGAAAAAACCCATATTTTGTTATAATTAACAAAAATATCCAATTGACATTTGTAGTTCATTAAGACAAAATTTACTAGAACTTCTTTTAGCATATCATCTCATAATAAATTATGTAGTTTAGTGTGAACAAACAGTGGTAAAAAGGAAATGTGTTATTTAACGGATAACACACCAATACAGGTTGAGATACAATTTCAATATCCGGCTTAAACATGAGCTAAATCTCATGGACGGCATAATAGTTTTCAACAATTAAGAGGAGGCATAAAGATAGGGAAAATATGGCATATTTAAATTCCAGGAAAAGTTTTTGTTAATTAGATTACCTCTTGGGTAAAATATTATTTTTTTAAGATAAAAATAAATTTTGAAATCATTTGTTTTATTTAGTTTTTCATATAATTATTACTCCAAATTAAATGTTTTTGTCTTAAGTCTTTTATTTTTCCATGATTGTTTTTCACAATAAAGCCATATCCTGTTCGTGTCTTAAGTCTTTTTTTTCCTAATGAGAGAAAAAGAGTGATTCGTTTCTTAAGTCTTTTGACTTTTCTAATTTTAACTGCAATATTTTTTATTATTGCACATAATGATCCTATATGAGTATTTAACTGTTATTTATTTAAGTATCTCTCTCTTGTTTTCTCAATGAACTTTTTTTTGCTGTTCGGGTCTTAAGTCTTTTTTTTTAACTTCCAATTGAAATAAGTTTGTTTCTTAAGCCTTTTGATTTTTAATGTTTTAATATGTTTATAGATAATGTGTGAGTGAGAGAGAGAGAGAGTATTATAGTATTACTCTCTTTGCTACGCACAGTCATTGTTATTTATGTCAGTTACATTCCAATAATAAAGAGACAAATATTTCTCTATCGTCTCTCTCTTTCTATCACACACTAATAGTGATAATGAAAACTTATAGAAGTATATTTTGATTTAAAGAGCAAAGAGACTATATATGATCAAAAATTATCTTTCTTATTAATAATAGAGATTTTTGACATGTTTTCATTCCAATATGGCAATTGGAAAAATAGACCTTTACTAATTTGTTTACATAACTCATTATATCTCTCTTATTTTCCCAGTATATTTTGTTTGTTTTCCTCTTACATGATTTGCGTAACTATTTTTTTCATTACAAAATAAATTAAAGAAAAGACGAACAAAACAAAAATAAAAAAAAAATAATTTGCCTAGGCTTTAAACTGACAGCTAAAAAGTTTAACATTTATTTTTATAAACATATTACGTTGATGCTGGTGGCAGGCTGTCTATTTTTTCTTTGCTGTTATTTTCTTAGGAAAACCATCATCATCAGCATCACCATCAGCCGTTTGACTTCTAACAAAACATGCACACACCCACCCCCTTCTATGATTCGTTGTTGTTTCTTGGTTATAAGTCAGAGTAATCTCTGATTATTGTTAATGCCTATACCTATTTGATGCAGTCAGTTAGTCAGTTATTGCTGTTGATGGTGGCTTATAATAATTACGCAAATCTTATACAAAAAGGTGATAGACCTCTTGGAGGCTTAAATTAAAAAAAAAAACAAAAAAATGAGTAACCAAAATATTTTGGCCAACAAACATATGGCTGCTGGAAATGTTCAGGTGTACATCAATATACAATAAATTTTTCCGTAATTTTGTATTTCTTTGGAGTATTGTGGAGAGGTCATTATGTTGAGAAAATATTTTTAAATGATTTATATAAAAAAAATTAAACAAATATATACATTGTTACAAATGGGAGAGCATTCATCATTTTTAATTAAAATATCCTAAAATGTATGTCATTGGGCAATTAGAATTATTATTGTCATTTGGCAAACATTAATCAAAAGACTTAAGAAACATAGATCACCTCTTTGCTAATGGTTTTAATTAGGAGCTAATATCTTTATTACTTATTACATGTAATGGTGCAAAAACCCTTTGAAAACTTATTTCTAAAACACATTAAAGAAAATTTGTTAATTTATAAAGTTCTTTTTTACGAATTTTAAGTTTTTAATACTTTTAAATCTAAACATTTGGTATAAATTGCATCTTCGTTTTTTAAATCATATTAAAATTTATACTTTACTTAAAAATACTATTGTCTTTGCTCTCCAACAACAAAAGGAAAGGAAAATCTTTACTTTTGTTAGATCAAACAGACAGATAGACATGTCCATGTGCCAAATCCCCAGCCAAATGGATAACAAAACGAAACTCCGACACATAAGATCTATTTCAGTTTTCTTCTTTAAAGATTTACAAAATTTATGGCTTGAAATAGTTTAACACTCTAACTCACATATCTGTAAAAAGAAGAAAAACAAAAATAACAACAACAACAACAGACAATCGATATGTATGCTAACTGATATTGAAATCTTTCACCTTACTTACCGCCAACAACAACAACAACGACATAGCCATATAACATGAACAGCAAAAAAGATGCGTGTCAGATCATTTACTGCACTCGATCGCTCTCGATTGCATGAAGCTATAAATTCCCCCGTAAAAATGTTAAGGAAATTCAACGTCAATAAGCATAAGCCATGCCGAAACATACTCAAACACATACTCGCAAACATATCGTGGCATGGTTGGACTTTCCAAGATATTAAGAAAAAAAGAAAAATCTTTATATCAAACAAAGGCAGGATGTATGGCTTTGCCAAAGCTTCCGTTGCTTTGTTGATTTCTTTCCTTTTGCTACATTTTGTGGCTTGTGTTTAACGATTATAGATAGTGTCGGGCATTAGCATTTATACCGTTAGCCAAACCAAGCAACCAACCAGCCATATTTTAGAATAAAATAGTTGTGTGCCTTAGTTTTTCTCCCCTCCCCTCCCTCCTCTCATCTCGTTTTTTGTTTTATTTAGTGCGAAAGGCAAGCGGCGGCCATACATCAATTGTAGCAGGCGGAAAAAAGTTTTTTTTTCGTTACAGAATTTATAGCATTTCCATGAAGTAGAAAAATATACTTCACACTTGTGCCTGCATGGATTTTTAAACGCTTCATTAGCAATTCTTGGTAAACTATTAGCTGTATAAGTAGCTTTGATGTTGGGGTGTTTGCCAGATATGTATCATCTGGCTGGCGTCTCTAGCGCAAAAAATTATCCAGCTGCTGCCGTTGTTGTTACAATTTATATTTTTTCACAACAAAATTATGATTGCCTTTCGCTGCAATGCTGCCTTGCTCTTAAGCATTGCAAAATTTTAATGATAACCTTACACGAATAGAGAGTGAAATACAAAAATACCACAACAAATAATAATTGTTGGCATGTCATCCGTAGAACGAAAGCCAGAAGACAAAAAACCTTCTTCTTCTTTTTCTTCATACTGCAATGATGTTACACTTGTTGTTTTTGTTTATTTGTTTGAAAATAATAATAAAACAAAAAAATATCTCAAGATTTATTATGGTCTTATGCAGATGGATTAGATTGGCATGGTATTAAGGCATATTCTCCATGGCCACCAACACCATTACCATTATCTATCTTTCATTCCTCCAAAGCAATTTTATTTAATTGTAATGTCCATGATGGTACATCATCTTGGGGTTTGTTGCTGTTGTTTTTTTTTCTTAGTTTTTCTATTTTATCTCCTTTGAGCATTTTCCACATGTGCATTTCCGCTTGATAAAACTTTTGTTGTATGGCTGTCATCTTTTTTCTTTGCGCAGCATGTTAGTAGAAGTGTGTTCGGTGATTCGCATCTAATTATAAAGGATTTGTAAGAAGGAGCAAAAAACTACATGCTGCTGCCTGTCTGCCAACCAGCCCAAGGAAAAAAATCGCTTTAATAGTGAGTGGTTTCCACTGCTTCTGGTGTTGTTTCTGTTGACATTTAACATACAGCCCTGTCTGTTGTCAGTAGTGTGATGCCGGGTGATGGACAGTGAGTTGGAAGGAAAAAATATGAGGGTTTTGAAATGTAATAAGTTAGGGTTTTATAAAAAAAAACCTACAGCAAAGAGAGAAAAAATTAAAAAAAAAGAAATCAAAAATTGTTAAGAAATTTCATAATGGACACTAGAATTTACATTTATTTCCCTTTGGCTCTTCAAAAAAGAAATTAGACACTAAATTGTGCTCAAATACAATTACAAATTTTTAAATATCCCTTCTCTCTCACTCATTCTCTCTAAAACGAAATGACAATTGAAAACCCCGAGTAAATTAGCAAAGACTTAAGAAACAAACTTTACAGTACTTCGTGTAAAGAGTTTCTTAAAACGGTGAATCTCTCTTCCTCACTCACTCTCGCGAGAGTGCACGCGTGCGGTGGTTCGCCCGACTGTGCTCTAAATGAATAAAATGATGTAAATTGCTGCCTAAGATCAAAAGACTTAAACAGCGAACTTGGCAATCTGCTTAACTCTGAATGTTTTTCTCTCTTTTTCAGGAGAAAAATTGTAAACAATTAGAAAAAATACTTCAAAATATAACTTTGCAATAAGCAAATATATTTTAAAATAAATACTTTTATATTTTAGTTAATGTACATTAAAGAATAGACAAACAATTTTACAATGAAATTCTTCAAAAAAAATGAAAGCATACTATTAGAATTTTCTTCATTTTCCACAAATTCTTTTATTAATTGTATTATTTTATATTCCTTTCTTTTTGTTATAGGGTGCTGAACGTAAAACCCGTGATGAAGAACGGCGTTCGGCAAAACGTAAAATGACCGCTACCGGACGTAAAAAATTGGATGAATTATATCATCCAGTTACCGATCGTTCAGAGTTTTATTCTATGCAAGATCTTACCAAGCCGCCGGTATTGTTTTCACCAGCCGACGATTTGGAGAAGGTAAGAAATCAAATGCATCATAATATCTCTTCTGCAACATCTGTAATAATCTCAACAACAAATCATAATCACAATATTACTACCACTACCACCACCAACAATAATAATAATTCTACTACTACCACCACAACAAATGCAAATGCAACTTCTTCTCCGCAACATTTAACATCTTTAAACACACAATACAATCATGATGTCTATTACAACCCAAATAACAATAACAATCAATTTGGTAATTCTTCGCAGGGCTTCTATGGCCATGAGACTGATGGGGCGGGCGATTTAAAGGGTGCCTCACCGTTCTTATTGCATGGACAAAAGGTAGCAACGCCAACATTGAAATTTCACAATCATTTTCCACCAGACATGCAGACGTGAGTATATTGTAAAAATCAACCAAGAATAACAATGAATTCCGAATCAACATCAAAGAATGGTTATATAATTTGTATTTTTTTTCTCTCTCTCTCTTTATTTTATATTTTTCTTTTTCCAAACACAGTGACAAAAAGGATCACATTTTGGATCAAAGTTTGGCAATGAGTGAATTTGGACCACCCATGAAACGTGGCCGCATGACCCCACCCACCAGTGAAAGGGTTATGCTGTATGTGAGACAGGAAAATGAAGATGTCTATACCCCCCTACATGTTGTGCCGCCCACCACCATTGGCCTTTTGAATGCGGTAAGTTTGCAAAACAAAAAGTTCCCCGCCCCCCTTTCCTTAACTTGTTCCTACCTCTATCTGTCTGCTGGTCCCTACAAAATTTTCATTAATAGTTTGGCAAACAACAATTACAGAATCTATATATAAATATAAAAAAACAAACACAAAAACTCATAACTTTAAAACCAAACCAAGAAAAATGTCATCGCCAATTAATAAATATTTGTCTAATATTAATTTTAAATCAAAAAACAACTGCAACAACAATGGGGTTTGTTTCAAACCAACTGCAAAATAAACCACCACCACCAACCAATCAACCAACACCACCAACAAACAACAAATATTAACTTTTTAACTTGTTATTTTTTGTTCATTTTGGTTTTGAGGCATTGGCTTTGTGGAAATAAAATCTACCACTACCAAGATTTATTGCGATAAAAATCAACCAAAATGTACGAATTAGTCACAGGGTTTCATTGTTATTTAGTTTAATCTATTAATTGTTATAACAAAAATTAATCAAAATTAAATTAAATCATTATCAAAGATCAGGTCTTTTAATTGTCTTTATATAGTCAGTCATTCACTCACTCATTTCGAAATGCCACCATCATAAAAATAAACAGTGTGCCAAACAAACAGTAGCACACAACCACCACCATCATCAAGCAAACCATTTTTACACTCCAACCAACACAAAACACCAATTACACCATTCACACTCACACAGAAGCAAATAAACAAAACCAAATCAAACCAAATTTTCGCTAATAAAGCACTTTAATGCATTTTATACTATTTAAACGTATAAAAAATAAACATCAGCAAGAACAACTGACTACTGGTTAATAATTTAAGTGTTTTCTTATAATTAATATATTAATTAATTTCTGTGGGGAACAAACAACAACAACAAATACAAAAAATAAACAGCAACAGTGCACCACAGCCACAGCCACAGCCATTACAACTACCAGCCATAGCCACCACCACCACCAACAACAACAACTGGACGATGAATTACAGTGGCAATACCCCCCAAACGAAGTAGGTAATTTTATGTTGTGTACTTCTCAGACCCATGTACTTATGAGTTTATATTTCAAGTCATGAGTATTCAACAGCAAGAAAAAATAAGAAATAAATACCGCCACCACAAACTAAAAATGGCAAACAACAAGCATCGCCAGCAACACCTAAACACAACTAATCGACTTACTTACCAACTCTGAACATTTGCACTCACATAGACACACACCATAATAAATAAAATTAGAATACACTTTACTACCACTCTACTACTACTAGCCTTCTTTTTTAACTATGGTGGTGTAAACTATGTTTATATATGTGTGAGTGTGTGTTTTAATAATTGTGAAGAACTAAATATCAACATGTACTTAGTATCACCAACCAATACCGTACATACATATATGTTTGTCTAACACATTGTAATACTACTGTCAACATTGTGGTAAATTAGCACCAACAACATCAACAGCAAAGAAAATGTACACTTGCAATTTTGTTGTTGTTTCTTTTTCCATACCAAATCTAATCCAAATATTGTACTCGTTCGTGGGGTCAATCATAGAGTGGAATGAGAAAAAATCCATGCATTACAAATTGTTGAAATATTTTTTAGTTCCATTTAATATCCGTCAAAATAAATTCAGTTTAGCCTGAACGATTTATCATTTTATAGTCCATCCATCATTCATCTTAAACAAAAGACACTGATGCACAATTTCCTGAAACACTATACAATGAAAATATTAAAAAAAAAATAAATCAGGGTTCGAAATGAAATGGGTTAAGTTAGCGCAATTATTTTTGAAGCTTTTAATTTGTATCGTTCTGAAGGATATATTGTTTGGTTATGAGAATCAAGATTATATAGTTGTGACAAAATTTTAAAATTCACCATTATTATGTATTAAATAAAATGTAAGTTTGATAAAGATAGATTTCAACATTTAAAGTTTGTGTCTAAAATCTTTTGAAATAAATGCAAGCAAACACTATATAAGTGAGTATCCAACAAGCACATTTAATATATCTTCTCTCAGAGAAAATACTATTCAATGTGATATTCTATTCAAGTTCGTGCCTTAAGTCTTTTGAAATTAATGGTAATTAACAACCAAGATACTCTCCACGTTGTCTTTGTTTTATTTACTCTTCTCACACTCATACTCAGTTATAGGCTGTAGTGACCTTTATTATCTCCATAGCTCTCTCAGTATCCGTTAAAGTTTGTTTCTTAAGTCTTTTAAATAAAATAAATGTAAGTGACACTAATAATAAAGAGAAATACAGGAAATATAATTTAAAAATATGAAAAGGAGCCAAACAGCAAATAATTATGTAAGAGAAATTTGAAATTAGTTTTTCATTTGGAAGTTTTGAAATGATTTAATACATTTTTATAAAAAATATTATCTTAAACATACAATATTTTCCTAATTGGAAATAGAGGACATTTATGTGCCCAGTATATTGACATTAGCTAGCATGTCTAATCTAAATAAACATGTTGTGTATTTAAATTTAGATCCAATTTTCTTGTAGTAAAATATTGATTTTTTTCTGTTTAATTTTATATAAATATTATCGAACCCTGTTTATATGAAACTACATTTATTAATTGGCTGACATTTTTTAAAAATTATTTTTTCTTATTATTAATTTTTGTAATTGGTTTTAAAGTTCAAAAAATATCTATGAGTTTTTGTTAAACTATTATTGAAAGTGTAGGTAAAACAAAACGACGACCACAAACACAGCAAACACCCATCATAGACTCTACAAAAAGAAACAACGCATCATCAATTTTTTTTGTTTTCTCTCATTTTTCTCAATTACAGATTGAAAATAAATATAAAATCTCAACAACGAGTATAAATAACATATATCGAACAAATAAAAAGGGGTAAGTGTTTTTAACCAACCACAATTAACCATAACCTATAAAAAACAACAAGGAGGCAAACAAGGATATACTAACAACAACAGCAACAAAATAAAATTAATATAAATGTACAAAAATACTAATCAAGGGTTTTTTGGGGAAAATAAAGCTTTGTAGTTAGCAGGCATGTTTCTTCTTCAGACACACAAGAAAAACACATGTCATTTATTAGTTTTAAAAAATCATCATTACATTTTATTTATTTAGTTTTCTTTTTTTTATTATTTATTTTGTTTTTTGGTAGTTTCTTATTTAGCATATAATTTTATTTATTTTTTTTATTAAAATTCTATATTTTTCTATTTTCTTTCTTTTAGGATTACGGCGAAAATTGATGATGATATGATTTCATATTATTGCAATGAAGATATTTTCTTATTAGAAGTTCAACAAATCGAAGAAGAATTGTATGATATAACATTAACTGAATTGCAAAATCATTGATAATTGCTAACAATGAATGCTAATAAAAACGTGGCAGTCTTTAGCGTATATATACACAACCCCGCCCCCAAAGTCAATGGAGGATGTTTTCTATTAATGTTAATAATTTATTGAAAAAAAACACAAGAATAAAAGTAATAAAAATTCTTGGAAATGCAGCAATGTTTGTAAATAGCCATATACAACAACAAGAAGGAGAACCAGAAAAAAATCACTGCAAAAAAACAATCACATCAACAACAACAACAACAACAACAAAAGGAAATATGCACAAATTTTAAGGTTACAATATATATTTTTTAATTTAAAAATTTATTTTCTTTTTATTAAGGAAATTATATACATTTTTTGCATACCAGCATATAGCTTTTAAGTCAAATGATAAACAAGAAGAAAAAAACAAATATTTATAATCGAGATTGATGTGTCTTTAATATTTTTTTTTTTGTTTAAATAATTTAAATAATAGCAGCAATTACAAGAACATTATATTTTTTTATATAATAATTTATAAAAAAAAGAACAACCAACAACGAACAAATAATCGTAATAGTAATAATGATGATAATTTTTTATATTGTATTAACCGATTCTTTAAGTGCCAATAGTATCAAGAATAATGATAATTATAACAACAACATAAACACAAACTAATAACAAAAGAAAACTAAAATCATAGCAATATTAAATAATTTCCAAAGTAATTTATTTTCCTTCAAGAAGAAAAGTTCGTTTCATAAGTCATTTTAAGACATATTTTGATTGGAAAATATTTCTTCTCTTGCTTCTCCGTAAGGAGTTTGTGTCTTAAGTCTTTTGATTTCAATGTAATATTTATGACAGTTTGCTCTCCAAAAGATGTTTGTGACTTAAGTTTTTTGGTTTCTCTCAGTCGGGAGTAAGCCCCTTGTGTGTTTCTCTCTTTGGTATGCAACTTAATCTCACAATAACGTTTGTGTCTTAAGTCTTTTGTCTGAAACCAATTAAACTCAAAGAGAAAAGGCGTGGGAAAATATATTCAAATTGGAAATTATTTTCTTATTGTTAATATAATTTAAAAATAATTAAGAAGCATCAATTTAATAGGATTTTAGTTATCACTAAACTCCTTTATTTTCTTTGGATGCTACTTTTACAATAATACAAAAACAAATACTCTTTATAAATATGAACAAATAGTTTTAATGTCGAAGAAAAAAAATAATTGTTATTGTTTTACAACAAAAATCACTCTACTTAAGATTTTCTTGAAAATCATGTTTTCTTAATTCAATACGATAAGATTGCATTGGATACAGCTGAGTTAAACGTTAAGTCTTTCCATAATATTGTTTAAATATTTTATTTTTAAACTAATTTTAGTTCATTTAATTTTTCAACTGTGTTTTTCGATTTAAAGTTAATTTTGCTTAATAAATAAAAAACGATGTCAATCTAAATTTGCTTCCAATAAAAATAAAAAAACAAATGTCTTCTTCTTCTTCTTTTCATATTCTAAACAAAAATATATAAGATCTCAATTTAAAATTGATGCTTACTTTGAAGAACAACAATCAATCGAAAAACATAAACAAAAAATTTCTTTGTGAGACAAAAACAACAAAATCTTAAAAAAATGCAATAACAACAACATGATATAATGATATAATTTTTATTACTTTATTAAAATGAAATGGAACACAAAGCATTTTTACAAATTAAATTTAAAGCATTAGATGTTACAACCGCAAAAAACCTACCCTACCCAACAATATATGTGATGAGGTATTTTGAATGAAAACAAAACAACAAATCTAGAACACAAAAAAAACTACCATTAAAAACAAAAAAACACAAATTGTAAATATAAATACCTATAAAAATATGAACAAAAAACCTTCCACTATTTTCTTAAAATACAAAAAAAATTAAACATTCCCTACGGCTTCCTCATTTTCTTAGAAAATTCCCTTATTTTTTAATTTTGTTGCTTTAAATTTATTTTTTAAAAACAAATCTTTATTTACTTTTATTTTCTTTGAAAAATTTGTAAATTCCCACTTCCCCTTTTCATATTTATTTAATTTAAATATAAACATAATATATTAATATTATTTTCAATACCAACAAAAATCTTGCCGTTATTATATAAACAAAATATGTAACATTATTTCTTAAAGTATACACAAGTTTTTATACAACAACGAAAACAAAACAACAACAAATCACAATATATTTGTAATACTTTCATGAAATTAATTTTATTTTTTTCTTTAATTTAATTTTGAAAAATATTTTCAATTAACACTTATTATATTTTGTTGTTTTATATATATACTATTTTTTTTATTTTAATTTTATATATATATACATATTTTTAGTTTATTTTTTCGTTTTATTTTTATTTAAACAAAAAATATAGAAAATAATAAAAAACACAAAATATTTCTTTTTTGTTTGTAACGTAATTATTAAGTTGTACCTTAATTTTAAATGAACAAATTATTTTATATACAAACAAAACACAATACAAATATAACAAAAACAGAAAAAGAACAAATACTACTTAAATTGAATGAACGGCAACCACAAACAAAACAAACAAAAAATGTGAACAAAAGAGAAAGAACAAACATTTTATTTTTTAATGATGAAAGAACAAACATATTTTTATATATAAATATTATATTATTATATTTTTAAATAAACTATAGTAGAATAAATGTTTTTATACAAAGTAAAATGAAATGAAAAGATTTGATTGGTAAAATTATGAGGTAAGTATCAATAACAGAGTATATAACCATAGGTCCATATGCTATGGATCTATAGGTATTGACAAAAATAAAATTTGATAATAGCTTTTAAGCTGATAAGATCTGAGGATTTTCCATTTACTATATATGATTTTTTTCTAAGCAAAAAAAAAAAATAGATTTTTCAGCATTACTAATTTTTTAGTGTTACTTCCATTGGTTTAATTTATTAAAACTCTTTAAATATTAACATAATTTATTGTTATGTATGCTATAGCCAAATAACTTCCATTAAAAATAAAAACACGATAACTGTGTATTTATTGTGTATTTTTCTTAGATTTGTGCCTAAATCCCTACGATGGTCTTTTATTATTTACACAATGAAAGCCAACATTCAAATCTTTCATTTGGTAAAAGTTTCATAGAGAAAGCTCATTTCGTTTCTGAGATATTGCCATTTGAAACAAACCATCATCCAAAAACATCCCTGCTGTTGGATTCTGTTCGCCTGTTACCACAAATCTGATCTTCCTTTATAATTTGATTTTTAAATTTAAGCTAAATGTCTCCGAATGAATAAAATAGCGAGCAAACTGTAGCATATTTCTAGGAGCAAGAATGTCCATATGTTTCATCGTCATGAAACATATATATGTACATCATTATGTATCATTATACAAGAAGTCTGGATGAGTGAGCCGCCCGCCCTTCACCCTCTCTCACCCAGTATCTTGTGTAGACAATAAAGAAATTTCAAAAACATAAAATACAAGGCAATTTAAAATTTTGGTAACAGGCGCCCAGAAGTCAGCAATAGGGATACTTTGTATGATGGTAAACTTTAAATTGTCATATCTCAAAAACTATAGGTGATATTTGTATAATTTTTTACTCAGATGAAAGAGTAAATTATCTACTATACTATGACCAGCAAAAAAACTTTATTACACATATATTACAGAGAGAAATTATAGAAAACTTTAATACTACATTTCATATTCAAAAATTAAAAAACTTAAATTATTATTTATCTTACAAGGTAATGTGAAATGACACCTTTCATGTGACACCAATTTTATTTAAATATCTACAGTAGTTCAAAAGTTATAAGAGAAACAAATTAGGTTTAAATTTTGCATGCTTGATTTGTGGATCTACCCAATCAAATAAATGGCGCTGACGACAAGTGTTTGCCAGTGCTGCCAAGGTTGTGAATGCGTAAAAATACATAAAATAATTCGAATGAATTGTTTAGAATATGAATAAGAAAGTTTGGCAGAGTTGTCATGTTAACACATAATTACAGTTTTCTGGGATTCTTCATAAATTTCGAACGCGTAACGATAATTTAATTATTCATCAGTTTATCTCTTTCCGAAAGATGTTTTGAAGAGTTTTTAAGAAAAATTTAAATTTTTTAATAAATATTTGATATGCAGGTATTTTTTATTAAACATGATATTTAATAGATTGTTATAAAATAATCCTTCCGGCTTTATTTGTTCTAATTAATTCTTCATGTGTCGATTTTTCAAACATTATTTAGGTGTATTTTTTTTAATATTTCTTCAAGTAAAATTTTTCGAGGAAAATGAAAACAGTCACCTTTTTGGAGGTTACAAGGGCAGTCAAAGTGAATTTTTATAGAAATACTCTTTCTTCTAGGACTACCAAAGAAGTTACGATGAATTTGGTTTCAAATTTATTTCCCGATATGAGCCCCAAACTGTTGCTGCGAATTTCAATCCAGGTGCATGTTACGGAGCTGAAAGCGCCCAATATATCAATTAGTTTATTTTCCGAAAGAAAATACCCTCTCTAAACATAAAGCCTGACTTCATTCATCATTCATTTCTGTACACTACTATTATACTAAACTGTATTGTATTAAATTAAGTAAGTTATGTTAATTAATTTTTATGTATTAAGTTGAATAAAAAATAAACAGACTTAAAAACAAATAAAATAAGTTTTTTGATTGCTTATGGACGTCTAAAAAATCTGTTAGTGGGGGTTCTCAATATTAGTTTCTTAGTAAAACTCTAACATGCCTATCCTGGCTCCCTCCCAATGAATTAAAGAAATCCCAAAAATGGTGTGCCTTTTTGGTAAATTTCACAAAAATACCAGGCGCCCAGAATAAAATAGCAAGTTGCTCGCCAAAAAAATAAAAATGTCTAAATTTTCGAATCTGGCAACATTCTACACACGAAAAAATTTGAGCGCCTAAAAGTATGCTACAAATTTTGTAATTTCTTAGTA